ATTTTATTAGTTCAACAACCTGTGCACCATTTTGATGTTTATGAATGCTCTCTTGTTTTTCCTCTATGGTCATTCTCACATGTGTTTTCTTGGCTTGAACCTTACCACTGGCTTTCTTGGGACGCATGGCAAGATATATCATAACAAATTTTATGTTTAAATAGCCAAAAATCCCAAAACAATGTAATGCTTTACAAAGAATTCAGGCGCGATACTTACTAGGCAGGAGACACTGGTAAACTGAGGCGCGATCACCATGCCACCACGCCTAGGTCAGCCCATACGTATATCAACAAACTCCTTTCCCGAGGCAAAGTTTGTAACCCGATTCAAATTTTTCGAAGAAATTAGGCTCGTAACCCGAAAAGTTCATAAATATTCATTCGTAAGCCGAGGTGTCACTATATATAACTAAAAAATTAAACTCAGGATTACTTTCAACCCCCACCCCTTTTGCTCTACTCCATCGCCACCTACCTTCACCCCCCTCTATGATGTACTCTTCCATAGACACCTACCTTTGCCCCCCTCCTCCCCTCTACTCCTCCATCATCACCTACCTTCACACCCCCTCCCTTCTCCTCCTCCATCGTCACCTTCCTTTCACCCTCCTCTATGATGTACTCTTCCATAGACACCTACGTTCACTGCATATAATGCTCCCCTCTACTCCTCCATCGTCACCTACTTTCACCCCCCCCCCCCTCCGCTCTACTCCTCCAGGGTCGCAGACAATTTCACGAGCGTGAGAACTACGAGTTCTCTAACCACTCTCACACTCCTACTCTCTCACCAGTGAGGGGAAGGGAAGGAGGGAGGAAATGAAGGAAGAAAGGTGGGGGAGAGAGAATAGGCAGGGGGGAGGAGGGCCTAGATACATTTCTTCCATATAGATAGGTAGACTGAGGGAGAGCTGCTTGCCAAGAGCCCTATCAGACAGGCTTCCTATTCCTCAACCCTCCCTAATATGCCACATCCTGGTCAGGACAACTTGCTCGATTGTTATTCTTGGTGTGACTCGAGAACTGACCTCGAGGCGGGGCATGGGCATGGATTATCTCCCTGGGGCACGCACCTCCCTGCCCCAGCTCTCTCTCTCACATAATCTATCAAGGGTCTAACATTTTTTTTTTTTTTTTGAGATATATACAAGAGTAGTTACATTCTTGTACAGCCACTAGTACGCGTAGCGTTTCGGGCAAGTCCTTAATCCTATGGTCCCTGGAATACGATCCCCTGCCGCGAAGAATCGTTTTTTCATCCAAGTACACATTTTACTGTTGCGTTAAACAGAGGCTACAGTTAAGGAATTGTGCCCAGTAAATCCTCCCCGGCCAGGATACGAACCCATGACATAGCGCTCGCAGAACGCCAGGCGAGTGTCTTACCACTACACCACGGAGACTGCTCATACCTATATATGACCTCAATAACATGAGGTCATTGTGCCTACCAGAAGTGTATATGTCCAAGGCTGGCCACCTGTCTGGACCATTCAAATGTATAAACACGTAATTAGTCTATTAAAATTATATATAATGCTACAATTATAAATTAATTTGTTCATGGTCATTCGTTTATCAGTATTTTAATATGAGGTATATATACGCATGTATGTATACGTTGACGTACACATATATGATTATGTGTATGGAATGATTATGATTATGTGTAATCATATATGATTATATCTAATGGAATGCATTAGTAAGTGATGTGGTGGAGGCTGACTCCATACACAGGTTCAAGTGTAGATATGATAGAGCCCAATAGGCTCAGAAACCTGTACACCTGTTGATTGACGGTTGAGAGGTGGAACTAAAGAGCCTGAGCTCAACCCCAGCAAGCACAATTAGGCGAGTATATGAACGAATGCACATGTACACTTTCAAATGAATTAAGATACCTTGAGATACACAATGACTTAGTTTAAATAGTTTAAACACATTATGGTACTGTAGAGGTGACCCACGTGTTACAACAATAGTACAGTAATATTTCACCTGGAACTGTCGTCGTAGGGAGAGGAAGGGCTGGTAGGGTAGGTGGAGCAAGTCTAGGCTCCTCAGGAAGGGTAGGACAGAGGGAGTCAATGCCTCTTAGGGGTCCTATGGGCACATATCCTAAGTGCCAGTGGTGCCGGGCAGGCGTCGTCCGCGTTGGGTCACATGCAGTTCAAATCTGGCCCACTCGGCCTGCGCGGGCTGCCGCGCGGGTAGGCTGTGCGCCGTCGCCGTCCACCAATTAGGGCACAGCCCTGCCTATACTGTAAAATGTCTCCTTTGGCGGGCACTTTGAATGTGGTTCCCTCTACAGTACTGATTTTGACATGCTGATGTCTGGAAGGGAGAGGGGGTGTGGGGGGTTATTGTCTGAGGTGGAGGACCAGAGGAGGGGGTCACTGGAAGGATGGTGGCTGGAGGGATGCCATTGTTCTAATGGTTATGAAAACAATTATTGATGGCAGGAATTCAGTGGGTGTGTACTTCACCCGCACCATCACCATACTGTGCCCTGCTACAACCCCCCCCCCCACTCCACCCATGCTGTGCGGGGCGTATTACACATTATGGGATAACCGACTGTCTGTCCATTCCTGTCTGCTCGTTATGCTGCCCTTCCTGTTGAAAATTGTCTGCTTTATCGACTTCCTTCAAGATCACACGTTAGCCTCTTATCACGCCCTCTTACCACTCTCAGGGAGCCGGCTCTTCTATACAATAGTTACCACTCAGTCCCCAAGGTCGGCCAAGTCGGACCGAGGCCGAGCGGACAGCACGCGGGACTTGTGATCCTGTGGTCCTGGGTTCGATCCCAGCCGCCGGCGAGAAACAATGGGCACAAATTCTTTCACCCTATGCCCGTTACCTAGCTGTAAATTAGGTACCTGGGTGTTAGTCAGCTGTCACGGGCTGCTTCCTGGGGGTGGAGGCCTGGTCGAGGACCGGGCCGCGGGGACACTTAAAAAGCCCCGAAATCATCTCAAGATATAACCTCAAGGAAGGTGAAAGAGTGTCCGGGCATATGACTTGTTACGTGTACTTATTTGCGATTCGTTTGGGCTGTCACGTGTGGTGATTAGTGTTGGGTAAGGCTAGTCCTGGTCAGGTCAGACTAGGCCAGGTCAGACTAGGCTAGGTAAGGCTAGGCCAGGTCAGGTCTGGTCAGGTCTGGCTAGGCCAGGTCAGGCCAGGCTAGGCAGGGTGAGAGAAGTAAAGCGGCAGATACTTACGTTTCCGAGAAAGTAGCGGCGGTAGTATATTGTTGATTTAGATTCGACAACATCCTGAAGCTAGTAGGCGGCGGCCTCATCGCTCTCGAACTTCTTGTTGTTGTAGGGGATACGAGGCACACCCAATATCCCCCTTACATTGATCACATCGCACACTAATATTTTTATTATTTCGGACACCAGATTTGTCTGTTTCGTATATGTATAAATGTTCAATATTAAAACCACAATAGAATGCTCTTAACAGTTACAATTTTCAACTTAAAAGCCATATAGTTGGCAAGAACGCCGCCCGCCAGAACATAAGATTTTCTGCGTGAAATAAGCATTGTTCTGAGATGAATATTGCGGATTTCCGGCTCTACGACCGATGAAAAATGCAACTTTTATACAACTACAAATATCTTTAGTTTTACTTTAAATTTTGTCCTGAAAGAGTTTTCATATATAGATCCAGTTTCTGCCGTTCTTCTGACATAAAAAGACCTTTGGTTTAATAAGTTATTAAGATGTTTTCAACAATATTACTAGGGCGTTCACCGATTCTAACATGGGCGACCCTTTTGGAAACGCAACACATGGGTTGACCTGATTGATATATGGGTCAGATTCCATTAAGGTTCGGAACAATAGTTTAGGTGCGGGGTGGCAGTGTGGGTGGCGCTGACAGGCTGCCGACGGTAACTAACCTCTACACTCTTCTCTCCCTCGCTCTGTACGTCTGTCTCCTGTCTACCTACACCAGAATTCGTCAACATGGCAGCTTTTGAAGGTAATTTGGGGCTCGGTGCCAAGGGGCAGTTTTAAAGAAAGGGGTGGGGGGATTTGTAGATTTTTGACGGGCATTGGACCGGCTTGATGGAATAACATTACTAGGGACGTGTGGTTGTATGTGTGGTGTAGCGTGTGGTTGTATGTGTGGTGTAGCGTGTGGTTGTATGTGTGGTATGGCTGGTGTGTGGTTGTATGTGTGGTATGGCTGGATTTTAAATTGCAATACTGTACTAGCAATATTTTGGAATTTAGGGCTTTGGCAGGTCGGCAGTGCCATGGGCTTATAACCCTATGGGTGAAAAGTGAATTCTGTTTTCTGACTTACATTGGGGCTTGTTGAGCTTGAATGCAGTATATGTGAAATTATCATGGAGAGACACCAGTCTCTGTGGTGTAGTGGTAAGACTACACCTGTAGTGGCCTGGCGTTCCACGAGCGCTTTGTCATGGGTTCGTATCCTGGCCGGAGAGGATTTACTGGGCACAAATCCTTAACTGTAGCCTCTGTTTAACACAACAGTAAAATGTGTACTTGGTTGTAAAAACGATTCTTTGTGGGGATCGTATTCCAGGGACCTGCCCGAAACACTACGCGTACTAGTGACTGTACAAGAATGTAACAACTCTTGTATATTTCTCAAAAAAAAAAAAAAATATGGAAAAGCTGATGGAGCAAAGGATCCCAGAGTATGTACCGAGGTGGGTTTGGGCGTGTTGAATGAATGGATAATAGTAGCAAGTAAAAAAATAAATACAGTAGTAGATAATAGATAAGCAAGTGTGTGTTGGTGTGAATTTGAGGTCTTGAGATGTTGGGATATCTTGAGGTCATCTTGAGATGATTTCGGGGCTTATCAACCCCGCGGCCTGGTCCTCGACCAGGCCTCCTTTTTGTTACACACCCCCAGGAAGCAGCCCGTAGCAGCTGTCTAACTCCCAGGTACCTATTTACTGCTAGGTAACAGGGGCATCAGGGTGGAAGAAACATTTTTCCCATTTGTGTCCATCTCCACCGGGGATAGAACCCGGAGCCTGAGGACTACGAATCGGAAGCGCTGTCCACCCAGCTGTCAGGCGCCCTGACAGGATAGGAGAATAGGACCAAGATGATAGTGGGGCAAACTTAGTGAGGAAGCAGGAAATGAGTGTGAACAGCAAATGGGTTATGGAAATAGTGGCTGGGTGGAAGCAGTTTGTAAGGATGGAGTGCATGTACAGTATTTGTTTATGGTGGACAATTCATGAGATAGCACTGTATACAGGTCTTAAAAAGCAGTTGGATACTGCTTAGAGTGAGAGATGAGTGCATGTCTTTTTTATATTTACATAGTTTGAATGATGCAATGAATGGAATATTGTAGTGGTTTTATTTTTTTTATACCTATAACCTGCTAGAACAATACAATAGTTTTGCATTTTTTCTTCTGGGCTAATGCTGCCCCCTCCTCATACGTCTAAAACAAGATAATTAAAAGTTTTGTTACTAACCAATTACTTTGGCTTATGAAATTTATATAATATTCATTTTTCAGAAATGGGTGTACTCCCAGAAATAGCTAAGGCTGTAGAAGAGATGGATTGGACGTAAGTTTGCTGATTCTCTTGTACATTATGCAACGCTGTACTCAATAAAGTGTTTCAAATACTGTACTGGAGTAAATATAGTTGGTAAATAATAATTGAAATGGACTAGTAGTTTTATTTGCTCTTCATTGGGTATGGTATGATATGATTATGCACTGTATATTCCCTGTAAATACTATAGAGAGATTTAAAGTAAATTGTATTGCATGGAAAACTAGTATGGTTGCAATATTAACTTTTTTTTAATGTTTTCATTTGTGAATACTTGCCCTAAACATACTTATACATACTTGTCTAAGAAATGAGCCCATGTACTGTGCAGCTGTTTAATATGATAACTTCATGGTGCACAACAAAAATTATACCCAATTTTTTTTTTAATGTTGTTAAAATTGCCTCCCTGATCATGTAAATGGAAAAACAATTACAAAATCTAATTTGTCACAATGTCATCACAAGATGTTGAGCACATGTGCAGGAGTGACTCGAAGCTGATCTCTTGGGTGATTCAAGACCCGCGAGTTGCCACAGATACTTTTCTTGTGATTTTTATCGAATAATACTATTATTTATGTTTTCGTGTACACAGTAGAACATGTGTAATGTTTTAATAATGATAAGTGTCACTAATGTGTCCACAAAAAAGTGGTCAATATTACATGTTAAATTTTCACTAATATTTACTGTCTCACATACTCTGAAATAATGTGAGACAATGTACAGTGTACTTACACCATAATACTCTCTCAGTACTTCATGAGTAAATTCATTGAAGCACTCAATACAGTAGTACACATGGTAACTTTTGCATTCTGTGCACCAGGTACATGCTGACTTTCACTAATCGTCTTTTTGCATGCTTGTAAACATGGTACTTGGGTATAAATTTTGCAAGTCTTCCTGTACCCGCTATGTAACCAAACTTGTGTAGTGTACAGTAGTCTATGCAGCTCAATCTGTCGGTAGCAATGTGTACATCTTCTGGCACAAAACTTGGAGAAGTTTAATACTGGAGTTCCCACTTGTGCAACTTTCAATGATCAGTGGGCTCTGACTCTGTCATTTTCTTCATCAATCTGCTGCAAAATAATGTTGATTTTGTAGTTGTGATGTGCATTATGCCTCGCATGCAAGTCTTGCATCTTTCAATATTAAAAAGTATTTGACAGTCTTCCAACCACTTTTGGATTTCATTTAATCTTTTTCTTTTCTCCATTTAATTCAATTATAATTTTTACTTCCCACTTCACCATAGATCTTGGTCATGTGCAAATTTGATAATGTGGTTTGTAATACTGTATTCTCATTTGTCATAGATGTATTTGACAAAAAGGGTTGGCCCCAATATGGAACCCTGCAGTACAGTGTACTCAAGATTTCTCCAGTTGAAATCATTTCTATTAAGGATGACCCTTAACTGTGTTTTAACCAATGTTTTATTCGTCCTAGTACAGTATTCTACTATTAATTGCATGTGCTTGTAATTTCCTCACCAGTCTGTCATGTGGTACTTTATTCTGCTCATTACTTCGCTAATTTCTGAGCAGGATGTTTCTGGTAGATCAACCGCATCTTCACTGAACTGAATGATTTTTGGTCTGATTCGCTTTTCGTCATAATTCAAGCCGGATTATAAGTTTTTGGATTTTAAATGTTTGCAAATTTTTAAGGGTAAATTATAGACTCTTCAGGTATATCTAGAACTAACACAAACATTTAATTACATTCATTAATTAATTAGTAATTTTAGAAATCATTAAGTATAAAAGATTGTAATCATCTAGGTGGACACAGGAAATGTTAGCCCAAAGCTTGCAAAATAGTAAACTCATTATCTATTGTAACATTCATTCTTAGGTTGCCAACGGATGTCCAGAATGAGGCAGTCCCACTTATTTTGGGAGGTGGGGATGTGCTCATGGCAGCTGAAACAGGCAGTGGCAAGACTGGTGCTTTCTGTCTTCCCATCCTACAAATTGTCTGGGAATCACTTAAGGATATTCAGCTTGGCAAGACTTCAAAAGTTACTAAAGAAATATGCAAGTGTCCATTGCTCTTTTGTGCCTGTTTATTGCAGTACTGTACTTGATATCTGAAAATTATTATTATAAATGCTTTTAGTATACATAAATATAAATATGCATATACTAGTACTGTACATAAATTTTAATATAAATAGTATTATTATAAATGTTGTTACTCTAATATTATACTGTTATTATTCTTTTCTTTTTTTCTTTTTGCAAAATAGCTCCTCTCTGGTTGATGAGCTTCTTTGACCGTGACGCAGGAATGGCTGTGACACCTGATGGCTTGCGGTGCCAGTCACGGGATCCTAAAACATGGCAGGGTGCCCGTTGCACCAAGGGTGTCACTGGCAAGGGAAAATATTACTATGAAGCCGTTGTGTCGGATGAAGGGTTGTGTCGTGTCGGGTGGGCAACTCCTCAGGTAGGCAGTATTGCTGGCACCTTTGTGTTGCTGCTGCTGAACATTTTATAGTTCAGTAGAAATGGTAATACTGTACTATACTCTATTCCCAGTGTGAATACCTAGTTATGACTTTTACTGGATTATATTATATATTTTTAAATGGTTTCTGTTCCATATCCAACCCATCCTGTTTAGATAGTAGTTTTTGTGACTGTGCACCATAGTACAAATTTTTGCTGTAAGGCATTGACATAATAAGCAATTAGATAGTAGAACTTTGTACTATTCATTTTACAGAAAAAAAAATTAAGCTAAAAAAAAATTAAATATTCCTAGGCCTAGTATAGCGAGCATATATACTATATTGTGCCTTGAATAGCAGATTTGTCCTAGGAAGGTTAGGTTAGGATAGTTTGTCTTTGCAGCACAAGTAGAAAATGGTGTTCGGTTTGTGAAAATTCAATAGTATTTATTGTAAATACTATTAGAAAATAGAAAACATCAATTTCTACTTTCTAATTGTTGTACATCGGTATATAAGAATGAAGGTAACTGCAGAAAGCCTATTGGCCCATATGTACATGTATAATCGTCCTCATCCTTCCTATAAGTACTATTAAAACAGGTGAATGGGCTGCAATATCTTATTAATGCCATTACCTATCAACTTGATATTACACAAATTACTATGGTGTAACGAGTTTAAATTGAAATGGGGCAGTGTAGTTCTCTAGCGACTTCTTGGATCAAATCTTGTGCATATCTTCCCAAAAACATAGCCTAAGGGCCAGTTTTCTGCATTAATCTTTCAAAATGGTATTCATAGAATTGCTTCAGAACTGGTACTATGGTAGGTATGATTTTGTAGTGAAGTTTTCACAAGTACTGTATTCATATCATAATCTTCCTTATTTACTTATACCTGTATACAACTACCAATAAATTCAATCCTTAAAATCAACGCAACTGCCAGGAAAGTCGGCACCATATTTGAATGCATCGACTAGCACATCCATTGATTATGATGTACAAATATTTGATAAAGTCAGACGAATCGAGGCATAGTTTAGGGAAATTCGGCTGCACTCTGCATATCAGAAAATGACTTGATTGAATATCATTTATTAAACATGGTTACACGCCAAAGAGAACACTGGTAAAGTTAAACCCAACTGTTTGACACCTCCATCCCGGAAACAGCCATTGTTTCCAAAACAGTAATGAAAGTGAGTAAATATTTATATAATTATGCAAGAATTTAATGCAGAAAGTTGGTAAAACAAATTAAAATGCTAATTTGGGCTGAGTAAACCATTACTTGCGTATTTGTAGTAAAGTACCTACCTCATGTTGGGCGAATTTAATGCTTTCAAAACTTCAAGAGGCAAAGGCTTGCTGTAGTTTGTACTGTATTTTCACCTGCATTGGGAGATCGTTATATTTTATCAATTGCCTTTATGCAATAATATTTTTTATATTCACAACCAAAACAACTTATATTTTCAGGCAGCATTAGATCTTGGAACATGTAAATCGGGATTTGGATTTGGAGGCACTGGAAAAAAGTCTAATTGCAAGCAGTTTGACGACTATGGTGAATCTTTTGGCCTCAGGGATGTGATTGGTTGCTATCTCAACCTGGATGCCATGGAGATGCATTACAGCAAAAATGGCACTGATTTAGGTAAAGCTTTCACATTACGAAGTGAATTCAAGAATGCTGTCTTCCATCCAGCTGTAGTTTTGAAGGTTGGTAGTATAGTATATGCATTATTCATGTAAGTTGTGTATTTTAAGCAGTGGATAATTGGATGACATTATTAATTAATTATAGATATGGTCTAAGGCACAAAAGTGTATAGTGGTCATGTATATACAGTGACACCTCCAAAATTTGGATCATATTTATGATCTAGGTCATTAAGAAAATTAATACAAATAAGTAAATTTATCATTGAATTTTCTATCAGTTTTTGACTGTTGGTTCTTTACTCAAATCTCTATAATTTCAATAAAGTGCAAGAATAACTTCAGTGAATTTAATGATATTTGAAAGTTACAGATGATAGCAATTTACGTGATTTCCAGAATGCCGAGATGTCTTTCAATTTTGGCGCAACAGAGTTCAAGCACCCACCTAAAGCGGGATACGTAGCAGTGTCTCAGGCCAGCAAGGACTGTACTGTGAGCTCAGGTGTGAAGGGAGGTGGAGACAAGCCACAAAAGCTTCAGAACAATGCTCCACACGCTGTCATTATTGAGGTAAGAATGGTAACACGTGACTGGTCTGTATTTACTTGTCCAGTATCTGGTTTATATTGATTGCTGGATGGATGTCTAACAATATAACCTATACAGTTTGGTACAGATTAATTTTTTTACATCACTGTTGCTTCTAAACTAACCTGTTTATTAAATCCTGGATACATACAATATGAAGATTCAAACTAAAAGTAATATGTTGTGCTATGTGAATTGTTAAACAGTTTAGGTAGAGTGGCAAGTTCCAAAAGCAGATCATTTTTTTTTTTTTAATGCAAACAAAAGTTTTTATCATTTAACAGCCTTCAAGAGAACTCGCAGAACAGACCCTAAAACAGGTTCAAATGTTTCGTAAACATCTAGATAATCCAGTGGTTCGTGACCTTCTTGTTGTTGGTGGTATACCCGTGAAGGAGCAAATAGCAGCACTCAATGCAGGTGTGGATATTGTTTGTGGTACTCCAGGACGCTTGGAAGATCTTATTAATACCGGACAACTCTCTCTCCAGTCTTGCAAATTCTTTGTGTTGGATGAGGCTGATGGCCTTCTTAAACAGGTAAGTTTGGTTTTATCCAAGGAAAAGTACTTTTTATATTTTGGTAGTAAATATGTAGGAATACCTGATATAAATTCAAGTACTGTATCATCAGCTTGCCTTATGAATTAGAAAAAAAACTAAGAACTCTTGACTACCCGATTTCTTGTATTAAGTCAACTACTCGTGGAACATTTACACATTTCCTTAATGTGCGTCTTTGGCTATCAGTAAATGGGCACTTGAGAGTTGGGCAACTTTTATAGATTTCATCCTGGAAAGGTTGGTCATATTTTTTAAATGACTTTAAATATACAGCTGATTTATTTATAAGGTAACTTGATGCATTACTGTATTTTGTTGACTTTCATTTACTGCATTAAATTTCTTGCCATATTTTGTTTCATGTAATAGTTTATCTTGTATACAAGTGTACTGGTATTGCAGGGGCATGAGCGTCTCATCAATAACATCTACAACTCCATACCCAAAATCACATCTGAAGGCAAGAGACTCCAGATGGTGGTCTGTTCTGCCACCCTACATTCCTTTGAAGTGAAGCGCATGGCAGTAAGTTTCTGAACCCTTATTTGGTAACACTTGTTTGTTAAGGAAAATTGTGCCTTCTCAACTGTGCAATATCTTAAGACTAAGGATTATGAATTATCTTAGATTATGGTATACTATATAATAATTAAGTGAAAATAGCTCGTATGCCATAGTGCGCATACGAGCCCAAAGTGACGTTATTTTTAAGAGGACGGGTTGCATTTCATCCCATCATCATCCTGTGAAGAGGAAGTTTGTGTTGTTGTTTTTTGCAGTAATTGGCATCTCACAAGGAGCTCTGTATACCTACTTAAGCACTACTGTGGATCATTGCTGCTATTGATTTACTGGTGTGTGTGTGGTCATTCATGTTGTGATTGTGTTTTGTGAAAAGTATGGTTAATTTATTGTGTAATATGTGTAACAAGTTTTATCTCTTCGTATACGCCTCCGTGTTTTCTTGGTGTTGATGCCTTTCAACCTCGTGAAAGTGGAACATAGTGGTAGTGGAGCAAGCTTGTCTGATATTAGACACTGAACTTAAGAATTCTGTGTGTGGATGGTGCAAGTACATTGTACCTAACAATGCACTTGCAATGCACTATTTAAGTCAATTTAAATTATTTATTCCAGAAATATGTAGAAAATTGTTGAAATTCTGCTTGATCGTATTAAGGAGATGGAAAATGTATCTAAAGCAGATTACACTTAAAAAAAGGAACAGAAGTACAGTACTTGCTGTATTTTGTATTTAAATGTTGTTATTAACTGATAAAATAGAATTGTCTGTAAATGGTACAGTATAAATATAATGTACTGTATTGCTAATCATTGTTATGTCAGTTCTTATAGCAGATTATTTGAAAGAATTGGTAGCTACAGTACTAGTCTGTTACATAAACAAGGGTGTACATGTTGAAGCCAAAACTTTTATCATATAATTTTTTTTTTAATTAGTGTCTATAAATAAGATGTACAAGAAATTTGTAAAAAGAAGAAAAAAAAAAATTTACAAAGAATATTTTCTTGACATTAAAGAGCCTCTGAGTTCCAAATAGAGTACAGATATTTCAATACCTTAAAATAAGTTTGCTCTGACCAGTGAATTTTACTATGGAAAAACTTTACATAGGAACGTTTGATGCACTTCCCGACCTGGGTAGATCTTAAAGGGGAAGATGCTGTGCCCGAGACTGTCCACCACGTTGTCGTAACCATTGATCCCAGAACGGATAGTAGCTGGAGCAATCTTCGTCGCCATCTGCAGACTGATGGTGTGCATGTTAAGGATGGCGTACGACCTGGGAACAATACACCTGGTAAGCAAATAAAAGTGCAAGGCTAAGCTTTACAGTTAATATTTGAGAATGTGTCTTAGTTTTTTAAAGTACTGTAAGTGTAAGTGCTTCTAATGTTTTAATTTGTTATGCTTTTCAGTTTGGTTTCCAGAATTTTTCTTTAGCTTGTTCAGATATGTATTTAGATACCATTTGCCAATTTTAATGGTTTGTAATATGCTGCTTCACATTATGAGCTATGAATATTTTTTGAGGTTCTCTTAAGCTGGCTTGTAACTCATTAGTACCGATTGGCACGACCAGTTGGCCTGGCCCCTGCCATCAACTAACTTCCCTACTCAGTTCTGTTGTGTTCTATTGATGACTGCTACTTTAGTGCTGCAGTCCACCACTCAATTGCAGCGCTAATCTCATACCCTTCTAGCATTGAGATTACAGTATTATGTAGTACTCTCTCCCAATAATGCAATACTTGATAATATTTTCCAGTAGTTAATAATAGTTTGAATTTAACATTATGATCATGAATATATAGGATTATGAATATAGCATTATTGAATATCGAATCATGTCCAAACAAATTCCGTGACTGGTGTGATCCACTTGCACGGAGCAATTTCAGTGAGATAGCTTCAGGAGGGCCATTGGACATCTACCGGAAAGAGGCATTTCTTTACATTCATTGCTGTTTTGTTTTTTCTCCTTTCAGAGACATTAAGTGAAGCAGTGAAGCTGCTGAAAGGAGAGTACTGCATTAAGGCTATTGACACACACAAAATGGATCAAGCACTAATATTCTGCCGCACTAAGTTGGATTGTGACAATTTAGAGCGCTATTTTAATCAGATCGGTAGGTGTCTTGAATTTGTAAATCTTTAAATAAATTAAACCAATAAATTAACCAAGAGTCCTGGTCGGAGACCAAGCCCGCAGGGACTTTAATCCTGGGAACCAACACACGGTAGCCGTAAGGCAAGATACATGGGTATCTTGCCCATACCCATGTATAACAAATACACATGTATTTGTTACTAATATGCACACTATTATATTCTTTGAACACTAATATGTATTATTTGTAGTTATTACAATGTATATACACATTATGTGTGTGTACCTACATTTTAATGCAATATTATGAACCACTAAGCAGTTCCAGTGGGTGATATTCTTTTAATGTAGATACAACCACAGCATAGTCCCACATGCTCATTTGCTGCTGGCACATGACGAAGCAAAGTGCCACCTGATGCACTACAGCACTAGCCAAAACAGTGCTCTTATGAGAAACCTGGTCAATAAATCCTGAATATGAATAATTTTTCACATGTTCTTTTTCTAAAGGACCATGAGGTCCCATTACTGATGCATAGGTGCACCAACCTGTGGCTATGTGTCTCTTGCTGTAAATGTCATAGCCAGCATTGGTTTCACTGATATCTGAACCTTGTACAAAGTCTTTAACACTGTCAGGATCATCTATATAACACGATCATTGTTAAATTAAGTTATTTCGTTGTTATTAAGTGATGCTGTAGGCACAAGCTTCACGGTGTTGTGAACTACCGCTGTATGCACTACTCATGGTCTCGTTCACTACTGAGCCCCTCACAGCCAGGAGTGCCCATGATTTTTCCCCAAGATGGCATCTGGTTACTTGTGGTGTGAGGAAGCAGATGCGAGCCCCTCTACCTGCTGGAGTTTGAAATCTTAGGCTATACATAAAATCAGTCCTTGTCGATATATACTGCTGATGAAATGACCTTGGTTGATTAGTGAGGTTAAATATTCCTCATAATACATAGTCTCATGAAATATAGTATAATTAAAATTGAGCCTATGGAGCCCATAGAGGGGTATGAGATTAGTGCTGCATTTAATTAAAATACTGAGTTGATTTATAGGAACATTTGTCATCCTTTATCATTGTGCTAAACTAAACCCTGACTGCCCCAAAACTTTTAACAGGAGGAGGGGCCAATAACAGAGGCAATCCATATTCGTGTGTGTGTCTCCATGGTGACCGCAAGCCTAATGAACGCAAAGCGAATCTCCAAAAATTTAAGGATGGTGGAGTGAAGTTCCTTATATGCACTGATGTAGCTGCTCGAGGAATTGGTAAGTTCTTTTCGTTGCATGCATTGGTTTTCTCTTGGGGAAATTCTCTATATTTTAAAAGATGCCTGAGGATATGAGGATATTGTTAAAACATCCAAATGTTTGCTGCAGATGTTGGAGGACTGCCATTTATAGTCAATGTGACACTGCCAGATGAGAAGAGCAACTATGTTCATCGTATTGGGCGTGTGGGTAGAGCAGAGAGAATGGGTCTAGCTATCTCCCTTGTTGCTGCTGTGCCAGAGAAGGTTAGAGTTTTAAACCAATATTTGCATTCTTTATTAACTGGTAATAGCCCCTGACTTGACATTATTTTACATTGGCTTTCGCTGTCCTTATTTTCACTATTGTAAAGATGAATTCCTTAAACCTAAGTAACCTGTGTAAAGTCTCACATGTAGACTTTTGTTGTAGCTTGGTTAATATTTAAAGAGGAAAGAATGATAATGTAATTTATGGTATGTTGCAGCTTTTTGCAACATTGAATACTTTTCCATTGGATACTCTCTTATGTGCACACTCCAAAAAACTCCTTCATATGTGACAGTTGTATGAAAGGAACAGGAAAATCTGAAGTCTGCTTACAATAGTGTCAGTCTAGAAATGACCTAAGTTTAATTGCAGGATGAAAGCTATGCTCATGGTGTCCAGTCATCCTAGTACTTTGAAGCTCTGAAACTACTGATGGTTTTGGCATCCACCACCACCTAACATGTTCCAACCATCTACTACAGTTTGCAAAAGAGAACTTCTAATATTTTTTCCATCACCTTTGTTTTCTTAGCTTAAGTCTGTGAGCTCGTGTTCTTGAAGTTGTATGGCAGGTTTCAAGAATTCCTCTGTCAATTTTATTGATTCCTGTTACAATTTTGTAGGTAGTGACCATATCACCTCTCTTCTGTCTTCTAGCTTTGGTATATTTAACCTATACCCTGATGTAAATCAATGGGCCACAGAAAATAATATGGTATTTAATGAAGATAAGTTCCAACAACGGAAACCATGTACAAAATGCAGTCAAATCATACCATAGAACATAAAAGGAATATAAAGAATTGGGGAGTAATCATGTCAGAAGATCTTACTTATAAAGAACACAATAAAGTAGCAGTCACAATTGCAAGAAAAATGACAGAACCTTTCAAACAAGAGATGCTGTACCAATGATGATACTTTTCTAGGTGCTAGTGCTTTCTAGAGTGGAATACTGTTGCACAATAACAGCCCCGTTTAAAGCTGGAAAATTGCTGACCTGGAGAGCATGCAGAGATCCTTCACTGCCAGAATTCTCTCGATAAACCATCTAAATTACAGAGACTGACTAAAAATGCCTAAATCTGTATTCTCTAGGGCACAGGCAGAAAAGATACATACTAATTTATACATGGAAAATATTAGAGCTGATTCCAGATCTGCACACAGAAATATCACACGAGACCAGAAGGCATGGCTGGATGTGCAGAATACCCCCATTGAAAAGCAGATGTGCAATAAGTATTCTAAGAGAGAACTCTTATCAACATCAGAGGAACGAGACTGTTCAACACTCTTCCACTACACATAAGGGGTTTAATGGGCCTACCCCTCGCAGTGTTCAAGAAAGAACTAGATAAACACCCCCAAAGGATCCCTGATCAACCAGGCTTTGATTCGTATGTCAGGCTGCGAGCAGCCGTATCCAACAGCTGGGACACGGACTGGTTGACCAGTCCAGCAACCAGGAGGCCTGGTTGGGGACCGGGCCACGGGGAACCTTGAACCCCCGTAGCCAATTAATTGGTAGCCTCTCCTAGTAGTTCTTGGTTCTCGGTTCTGGAAGCCATTTAGCTGCATGTCTTTACATTTTTTCCAGTTAATTCCTGTACTTTTCAAGATGAGCTCAATGCTACTGCATAATTCAATTTGGTCTCCCGAAGGTTGTGAACAAGTTCTTTAATATTTGTCATGCATGTATTTATAAGTGAATCTGAAATTGGAAATTGCAGAACATGCTCCTCACACAGTGTTCTTTGTGATCCTGTTGTCTTATAACCATTCCCTAATCAGACTTCGGAAGAACATCCTTGAAATAACACGTTCCTTGACATTCCTGATAAGTCTTTCACGAGGTTCAGTATTAAAGGCCTAGGGATTAATTTAAAAATAGAGTATCAATTTTGTATATTCTTCTCTTGTTTCAGGTGTGGTACCATGGAGAGTGGTGTTCAACTCGTGGGCGTAACTGTTTTAACACGCGGTTGACAACGGAAGGTGGTTGTTGCGTTTGGTACAACGAACCACAGGTTAGTCCTCAAGAGATTTTTTTGTCGTATTTATCTTTCACATTTGATATATATAGAACATCATTGCCTACTTAAAGATTTGAAAGGCTCTAGTCTAAAACTGATACAGTATTAAAAAAATATTAGAGCCTAAAAGTGATAAATTCTGATTAGGAAGTCAAGTACTTGTATGTCTCTGGCGCTTCCCCTTAGTGATGCAAGTGCACCAGGTGATTAACAGCTTTTGTAATTTGAATGTGTTTTTTCCTCCTATTTTGAATCTCTTCTTTTTTTCTTCTTTTTTCCTCACTTTAACTCCCAGTGTATGTGTCCCCCTATTCCTAAAATATGTATTAACAGTAAATAACTTCTTCATGGCACAAATTCTTCAATCTACATACTTCTGCAGCACCAATAATGCCAATTACATTATCTCAGAGGCCTCTTTACTGTATTTCAAATCACTCCTTATAGATATTCTGTAGCTTCTGGGTGTCATACTGATCTTATTCTTCAAGCTATCTGAATAAACTTTGGCTTCTCTCTCTGCAGTGTAAACGGCACCCTTTACCCTTTCAAACATAAATTTAATTACATGTGCCTAGGACGCAAAATTACTGTAGGTGTGAATCGGTAATAAAATGCCATATTTTAGATTTAGGAACCATTTATTGCTTTGAAATTGAAATAAGTTTATTGAGGTAAAATACACACAAAGGGATGAGGTAGCTCAAGCTATTCTCACCCCGATCAGTACATCGTGTTAATACATACATACACACATCACAAGCAATAAACGTATCGCCGAACATTCTGAGAGATAAACATATACATTTCCTCCTCTACACAAGTAATTTATTGCTTTAGAAAAGCCAGAATAAAGAAATAATGATTGGAAGAAATATGCAAGATTAGGCAGTGTTTGTTCATATGAGTATAGTAGGGTAGTGACAGATGTATACAATGGAAAAATACCAGTACAATATTACCTTTCAAGAGCCTCGGTCCATCACTACATTGAGAATCACATTTTACACTGAAGTGCACTCAAAATATTTTGTTTATAATGTGAATTAAATGTTAGGCTGTGACTGACACCCTTGTTATTTCACTAGTGATCTTTTTCTTATCTGAACCACTAGTACCTAGCTGATATTGAAGAGCACTTGGGAGTGACCATCCAGCAGGTCGATCAAGAAATGAAAGTTCCAGTTGACGAATTTGATGGCAAAGTGATTTATGGTGAAAAGAGAGCCAATGTTGGTAAGTTTTCTTAATAGTGTTTAAAATTTATGTGCAGTACACTATTTGTTCTTATTCTGTATGGAGAATGTTGTCATGACACACTATACTCCCAGTTGTTCCATGTTCTTTTCTGCATGCACTTTTGTAGCTCTTGCTGCTCGTTTTTCACACTGGTGTGCTTACTGTCACAGTGCTCGACCATTCCTGTCATTGGTGTTTGTTATTACAAGCATGCTTTTAATTACTGTGGCTACAGAAGTGGCACAATTTTGTGCCAAAGTTTAAAGTGCTCAAGTTATTAATGCTTGAAAATGCCTTCTTGTGATAAGGTTCTACATGATGCTGCTCCCTAGGTGTTAGTTCTTTAGTAGAACAAGGGATGAAATTAGCAAATAAATGATTATGCATTTCTATCTTTATTGGAACTAGAAGGTTTATTCAAGGGTAAACATCACTAAAGCAGTACAGCTACATGCTATTTATTTGGAAGGAAAATATGTTCCTATATTTAAGTATTATTGCTACACATATTAACTGTAAAACAGAACCAGGCCTTTTCTATAAATTTATTAAGAGCAAGCTGCATTTAAAAGATTAAATCCAGAGATTGAAAATAGGGAACAAATACAGAGGGAATGAAAAAAAATGTATGAAACATTAAATGAACAGTTCCAATATGTGTGTACTTGCCTAGTTGTGCTTGTGGGGGGTTGAGCTCTGGCTCTTTGGTCCCGCCTCTTAACTGTCAGTCAACTGGTGTACAGATTCCTGAGCCTACTGGGCTCTATCATATCTACATTTGAACCTGTGTATGGAGTCTGCCTCCACCACATCACTGCCTAATGCATTACATCTGTTAACTACTGACACTGAAAAAGTTCTTTCTAACGTCCCTGTGGCTCATTTGGGTACTCAGTTTCCACCTGTGTTCCCCTTCTTCGAGTACCCCCCCTGTGTTAAACAATTTATCTTTATCTACCCTGTCAATTCCTCTTCGAATTTTGTAGGTAGTGATAATGTCTTCCCGAGCTCTCCTATCTTCCAGCAATGTTAGGTTGTGTGTGTGTGTGTATGTACTCGCCTATTTGTATTCACCTATTTGTGCCTGCAGGCTCGAGCATTGCTCCTGCAAGTGGGTCACGTTAGATGCAGTCCTGCTTGGCCTATCGGCAGCCAAAGCCAAAACTTGAGCCCCTCTCTGAGGCATGGAGAGCAAATGATAATTTGCCACCACATGGGGAATTATTCAGAAAGTTAGTGAAGCTTGACAGACAAGCTTGAGAAACCCTGAGGTCTCTCCTGGTAGTGAGGGAAGGACATTATAGGAATTTAATTATGGGACTAAATAATTATCTTTTTCTTATCCTTTCCACAGGCTCAGGTTATCAGACCCACGTAGAACAGCTTGCTCCAGCTGTACAGGAGTTGGCATGCCTGGAAACTCAGACCCAGGTAATCTATCTTAAAAGGCAGTACGGCAAGGAGTATCCATGGACTCGATAGATTGAATGGGAAAATATATAATTGTTCACATGTATTTGGCATACTGTAAGTATGAACAGCTGCATCTGTCAAGGGTTTACTTACAATAGGAAATGAGTAATTGCCAAAATGTGCTAAGCCAGGAAAGCGGTAATTTAAGTTGTAATTTAAGATTGCCAATTTAATCACTTAAAAACTAAGGTGAGATAAGAGTAATTTGGGTAATTATTGTGATACATAAATTTCCATTGTTTGGTTAGCTTCATAAATCACAAATAACCTTCATTTTTGAGAAATTAAAGCTTTGTTTTATTCCATCAATGAAGATGATGAGTTGACAGCTCATTCATTGATTTTGCTGTAATTTCTTTTTATAGTTCTCTGCTAATGGCTTTGTGTGCTGAAGCACTTATTCTGCAATCACTAGAAAATGCAATAGTCATTTTCATCAACTTGTAAGCATTTAAGACAGAGATATCACTACAAATTAAAGTCCCATACTATGTAGTAATCATCTTTACATAACTATATATGTGTAATTTACACACATTTCCTGTGTGCTTTGATTTACTTCAGCATCTGAAATAAAATATATGAATACATTTCTCACATGGTATCGTTGTCATTTAGTATCGTGTATTTCCTGTTATCTGTAGTCAAAGTGTTCATGTGAATGCAAAAATAAAGTTACTACAGGCTAAACAGTTTGTTACCCTCTTCTTCAGTTAACTTTATTCAGGGTGTTTTTCGTGACCCATCGCCATTTTCACTAATTTGGTATATTTCCGGTATAAAAAAACGATCATGAGTCAGATTGGTGACATTTTGAAAACTGAGGGGGGGGGGGGCAAAATGCACTCTATTTTGTGCTGACTTGGGCTCGCTACCCTGGCTGATGGTATCCCATAGTCTTTGGGTCCGTCCTCCTTAATTCCATTGATCATTACTTCCATATGGGCCAAATATGACAAGTGACCAGGCCCCATGAGTCAGGACAGTGTGAAGGAATGGTATTTACTTATCCTGAGGGGAAGTTCCTAGTGGCTCCACAGCCTCATCTGTATTGAGCCATGACCTGGCCATGCTCAGGTCTTCCTTTTGATTCTCACCGTCCAACTGTGGCGACTGACTGGTTTGTTGTCCTGTACAGCTCTCATCATGATTTGTACGCCCTTCCTCATCCCCTCACTACTGTAGTAATCATATTCATTCTTGCCCCCTTTCTTTGTTCCTACATTTCATGATATGAAGAGTCAACTTACATGAATTAAATATCTTTATCTTAAATTCATGAACTCGATCCTTGGTTATTTTTACTTCATTTTCACCTTCAGTTGGTAGGTTCAAATACACCTAGTTACCTTCCATCCCCAGCAGAAGAGGGGTTGACCACCTAGTTGTCCACTTATGCATTGGTGAGGTTCCAGTATGGGGTCTCCAAAAGTGTGTCCGAATGCCAGCTTCGGCACAGTAATTCTCCCTCACCAACTCATTGTTAGGGGCAGGGACCTTTGTGATTGCTATGACATTAAGACAATCTTATAGATCTAGACACACTATCATCCAAGTCAATATGTTCATATAGCTACCTTGTGGTAAGCATATGTGCTTACCACATATTACCTCAAATGTGCTAGTATCATTCCAAGAAAATGTTTTCTCTTATTTTGCTCGTATGTAGTGAAGCCAGTGATCCTAAGACTGATTGTCAGACTTTGTTGGTCCACTGCATTAATTATGGTGGTGCCCATCTTGCTTTTATGTCGTGTACTTAATATTGGTAAGAATAGGCCATCTTCAACCTGAAGCTTAGGGACTATTGCCTTCTCTGAGGCAAGTCACCAACTATGTTATCTGAAGTCTCATCTAAGACATCAGTTGTGCAAGAGCTGCACATTGGGATCCTAACCCCGCTCTTTAGTCCAAAGCAACTTAACCGTTTCCATTTCCTCAATCATGATGCCTCGACAGGCAGCCCTCGTTTTCCTGCCCCACTGCATCCTGATGCCAAGTGTGTTCCTTTCAGCTTCCCTCTGTGTACACATTTTTTCCCAAGCCCTTCCCTGTTTGTTCCTTCAGTAGTTCTGGCATTTGTTTTTCAGTCTCGGTTCATCCATAACCCTATTCTCTGCTTCTGTAACCCCTCCTCCCTTCTCTTTTTTCCCCCCCCCTCTACCTCTTCTCTCCAGTATAAAGGTTTACCAGGGTAGTGAAGTATCACACACTTGTCCTGGTTGCCCTTAACGATCTTAATTAGTGTTTTCAGCTCTGAATTATATTTATCTACTGTCACTAACAATTTCTCCCAAATTCAGCACCAGCTCTTCACTTGCAGTAGGATAACATGACACCCCGGGCCATTTGTCATTGCTTAAGTTCTTTACAGCAAAAAGTTGCACTATGGCTTTCTGGGAGGCATGTCATTCTCCATCCATTATACATAAAATTTACTATTGTTGAATGATTGATCCCAGGAGCTTTGCACGTGACTTGCCTTTGGATTGAGTGTGCAAAGGTCATACTCTCTTGTCCCATACCTTCTGGGGTGAGACAGACGAATGCTCCTTTAATTTCACTCGTCCCATTGCCGAATGGTGTCCAGCATATTCCTTAATATTTTGTCCTTGACACTGCATTACAGGGTTGTGTCTTGGCTCTGGAACCTTTTAAGTCTTCCTCAATTAAGACATTATGGAACCAGAGTCTGTCGGTTAATAACAGTACATACTTCAAGCTACAGTAAAACAAAATATTCGGCTGGAAATCATTTCTGGTCACCAGCATGTGGCAATCACTTGACAAACTAATGAATACAAAATTTTCATACTGTAAACATCCTGTGGAAGTTGATAAATGTATTTTATTTTATTTACAATCCATTTAGATCAATATACAGTACTGACAGACCATGAATACCTTTAGCAACTTATCATATTGCATCATTAGATTTGTGGCCCTCACTTTGAAATGAACTTTTTCAGGAAAGTAACATTTTTGCATTAAAGGATAATAGACTATCTTCAACTTAATCCATTTATTTACAGATATTTAACATATTATACACATATATAACTAATTTAAAGGAGGCTAGTGCACAAGGACTGGCAAGTATGCGTGCCCCAGACATAGCTTAAAAGCATTCAGATTCTCAATGTGAATAATATTAAACACTAATAATAATATTACTGTAAGATTTGTTGCTAATACAGTGATTCCCAACCCAAAAATAATGACATTTAAAATGTGAATATAAAATATTGTGTTGCAAGTGTTTAATTTTCTAGGGCAAAAATGTCACTATGACTATTGAAGTAATGTTAATAAACTGTACTTCCAACTATTAAAAAAACTTTCATAAAATATCAATATTGTTTAACAGTAAAAATGGAATGGTTCAACAATCATAATTACTGAATGAATTGACATGCATATTAATGCTGCCAGTGATGCTAAGAGCATCAAATATGTTTCTCTGGCAGTATCATAACATGGCACCTATATCTTACTACAACACTGGGGCACATCATACTGCAAGGAGAATGACAATCATATCTTTAGAGCCTGCATCAAGTGCTATTCTCGTCCTGCCAAATTGATAGTTTACAAATAGTTTCTATATAATAAGTTCACGGGGGGCACTAGTTCTCTCGTTTATACTGTACCCTTTTGAGATACCTGAAGAACTTCGGTTCAAGATTCTCAAAACAATTTAAAACTAATTGGGGGGAAAAAAAGCTTTTATGAAAACCTATATTAAGTGACTTTGAATAGAGCTAACAATTCCATGCATTTGTTAAACAATTATAAATATGAATAACCAGGGAACAACAGGTACCTTTTAGACTTTTGAAGGCAGTTTATTATGAGATTGGTTTAATAATTAAAATTATTTGATTGCAGGCTTAAAACATATATGTAAGAAACACTTGTCTAAACATACAACATAAGCCTTCCCTTTTATACAGCCTGATAAGAATGACAAGTTAATAATCAACTTTAGGCTCTGTACAAAATCTATAATTAGCATTTGGTTTATTTGCATTTTGGGGTAAATTTTTTTAGAATAACATTTTCATACAGATGTCACAGCCTTTGCATTCTCTTCCAGTTTTATCAGCTGGCATAACCTACTTTTCTGGAATTACAATTAAAGTTTCTGAACAACGATGCTAATAGCTTTAATAAATGCCTGTCTTGCCAAGAGCAGATCAAGGGACAGTGTCATGTCATATCATTTATGCTTCATCTTGATTCAGTAGTGACAAGCCTTTTCTGTGGCACCTTGAGCTTTGCCCAAGTTCACTATTGAGAACCCTGTACTGAAGACACTACAGTAAACAAGCTGGGTGTTCCTTTGAGCAAAAATAAGGTAGAGATCTTGGCTAATGTATAGATGTAATTTTTCAAACCAAGTCCTGTTACCTTGCTCAATACCTGGAAGATGATGCACACAAAAAATAAAATGAAACTATTCCTCCTGCATGGACTAAAAATACCATTTCAGATGATGTGTCAAGACACTATAATTTAATTTTATACAGACAATTAGCCAAATTAATATCGGACATCAAGGTTGCATTTGCCATAACTTTTTTCTTAAAAAAAAAAAAAAAATAATGGAGTATACACAAGCCAAAACTTGTTAATTCAACCAATGTTTAAGCAATACATGGCAAACTATATTCTTTATTTATACTCCATGACTCATTTCTACAACTGTAGGCTTTATATTTACTATACATGTTGTGTTGGGCCTACATGCTCAGCTCAATTAAACCTTATGAGAATACTTAAAGCAAATGTGGGTTTTCCACATCACTGATATGGAATATACAGGATTATTGTAAATATATATATGATGTGCCTTAACCATAACTTTGGTTTGGTGTTCAGTGTAGTCTGTGTTTAATGATACCTTCCAAATAATTCATCTGTTTATAACCTATACAGTATATAATATATTCACATAACTAAACTCTACAAGTTATTGAACCTGTTTTAATACTTAGATGAACTATTCAAATTAATTACTTAATAAATATTGAAAACTGAACAACAATGTACAATATTCATAAGGCTTTATTGAGCACAGCAATGACTAGCACACCTGGAGTATAAATTCTGCCCCACCTTTTCAACATCACAAAATCCAAAAATTTCCCTTACTACTGACTGACATGAGCAACTCTTCACCAGGAAATTTATATATATTATATATATATATATATATATAAAGTTGGCCTACTTTGCATCGTATCACATTTGTTAGATAACCGTCCCTAATTATAAACAGTTTTATTACAAATTACTACGAGAATTGTATACCGATACACTAACCACAGCAGGAGTACTAAAACCTTGGTCATGAACCAGCACATCAAGAGCCACTTTTATCAATATCCTGCAAAGAAAATTTTTAGAGTAGGCAGAAAAAAAAAAACAGAGCCACCTGGAGGGTTCAGACATCACTATAGCAACTACAACCCCAAGGATCGCACTCCATACCGGTGTTAATACCTATATGGTCTCACCCTCTCTCTCTCCGTATTATACATAACATGGTTGGTTACACTCAAACTCTTAAGTTCCAGAATCAATAGCAGAAATGCTACGATGAACCGTGTCGAGGAACTTTACATAATGGCTACCGATACCTAGCATAAAATATTCTAGTGACAAGTTCATAACACAAAGAAAATGATCGTAACAGATCATTATCATTCAAAAATAGTTTATATACAATAACTATCACTGCCCCAACAAATATTTACAGGTTACCAAATTTGCACATAATCTCAAAAAATAATCTTCCTACTTTCTTTACAGTTTATAATATTGACATTACAGCACACTTCACCAGAATGCTTGGGGTAACATACCTTCAACCAGCATACACCCAGAAAATTACATATACATATATATATACATATACAGTACCTGTATATCTAAAATATAATATGTGAAGTGAAAGCAGATATTGTGCATTCCCAAGTTTTTATGGGATAATTATTTGCTATGCATTAGGTTCACGTGGAAAAAAATATATAACTTCATTCCTACAAATCCTAAAACAAAGTATCTTATTAAGATATCTAAATAACTCTGTAAAACTCACCCTCACCTCAAAATGATAAATAACTTGCAGTATAACTTTTATGCAGACAAAATTGAATCAAATGAATATCAACACAGTATTATCACATGTGAAAATTTACAAATGCCAACTTTTCAATGGTCAAAAGAAACTTTATGAACACACAATTATCTGATAACAGTTAAAACAAATATACATCTTCAATTGCCTCTGGCACAATGTCATTTGAATATTTTAAAATAAAAGTATCCGCTTCTCAGCAAGAGAAGGGGACGAAGAAAGCGCAGTACGGAGGAGACTATACTAGGACCCGGCACTTCTCACACAGCACACTGATATTACCAATGAGCACTTCCCTATTGACAGATGTTACCAAGAAAGCTTTGCTTTCACTGGCATCAAGGGGTTGCTACTGATAAAATTTACCATTTAAATTTTATGAGATTTCAATTACAATTCCTTGTGTTTGGTGGCACTGTTGCTATTACATTCAGTAAAAACTAATTGCATCCTTACAATAGAGAAAGTCATGCCAACTTGCCCCTTAACATCTGTAATGACCAGTTACTACCCTTATTACTAGTTCCTTATTTGCATTACTCTCCAGTTAATTTGAAGCAGCAGCCAAGATTTTTGGTTTTGTGTGTTCCATACCAATATTGAAGCAGGATCCACATACCCTAACTGGTTGGTACAGTTGCTCTCGAGGAATTGGGATGCTGTGCTCGGAACATTCAGAGCAGAAGATTTTACCACAACTCCTGCAGTAAAAAAAAAAGAAAGAAAAATGAAGCACCGCTTACACAGAAAATCGGATTTAATTAAGTTATTAATTTGTAACTTTTGATGGATAATTAGGTAATAAGTAAAGGATGATATAACTAGAAACAAAGATGATGCAGGAAACTCAGTATGGAACAGATGTTACACATTTTAGATATTGTGACTGCAAAAGAGAATGAGAAAACCAAGTATTAGAAGTTGTTATAAATAAAAGGACAAACCAGATTTCCTCATACAAAACAAAAAGTTATCAACAAGAAAGAGCTCTAGCCAGTTAAAAATAAATAAATAAATAGGACTGCAAAACAAAAACCAAAGCATGAAATTTAAAACAACAAAATACTGTATATATAAACTATTGGACACACTCAAATGAACTAACACCTTACAGTATGAAATCTGTTAATCTTTGATAAAATGCTAGATAAAAATGAAGCATTAAATGTAATGAAATGCCTCTTTCTGCATGAGCCCTGGTGGCTCACTGAAGCTATCCCACTGAGATTGCTCCTCGAGTCACATCAGATGCGAGAATTCTGTTTAGCCTATGTGGGACTAGAGCTGAAACTCTACCTCCCTCAGATGGAATGAGAACAAATGACAATTTACCACCACACCGGGAAAGCATCTAGAAAGTCGCTGAAACTTTATAGTCAATTAGACAGTTAACAAAAACCAAAGCCTTGAAAACACCAAACAATGTTGCAAATGATTGATACACAACAAGTGAAACATACAAAACCAATAACACTGAATGCCACCACCAGACAGCCTGGCTTCTACATGCAATCGCCCTCTTTCTCAGTTCTTTCACCAATGCCCTACAGGGCCTTAATGTTTCTACTAAGTGCTGGCCATCGTTCGACTTTTTCTGTGGGGGCCATTTGCTTTGTACTTTTTCTATATTTGAGTTTTTGCTTCACATGAGTTTTCTTTCTGGCTTGTTGTGTGGGCTTGGCTTCGTTGTGCCCTGGGTGCCCATTAGCACTGCCCCTGCACTGAAGAGATATTTTCTCTAGCGTGTTCAGAATTTGCCTCTGAGAGTCCAGGCTACTGTGGTGGAGAACCTCACCTAGGGATATTCACTAGTCTGACTCCTCTGTTTGGGGCCCCTTGGCTGGGGGTGTTGTGTTGGGGCATGTTGGAACTTGCTTGTTTCTTTATATACAATATGCCACCACAACCCATAGCTGGGCTGTTGTTGCTGTGCTTGACATCTATCTCTGGCAAGGGAGCACAGTGCCTAGGTACCCTAATTGGCTAGCTGCCTACAGGCCCTGGTAAGCTCCTCACGGGTCTTTGGCATGGTTTTTCAGTCCATCCAACTCATACTTGCCATGTGCGAGTTTGAGGGCTACTTATATTTGCTGCCAGACGATGGTCATCCTCTCGCCCTCCACCATGCTGCACATTGGGTCAGTGACACCGACAACCCAAGTCCTGTGAGGTCTGTTTCCTCTGGATTTCAGCTTCCAATGCGTCTCAGGCAGATGCCACTTTGAAATTTAGGTTTGCTTGGGTTAGGTGTTCACTGCATTGTGATCACTGTGTTCACTGCATTTTCCAGGAAGGAAAACAAAATGAGGGAGGTGGTAAATAAGTGGAATGAGCTTGAAGTCAAGTCACCACCATTCACAATTTCCAGAGCAAATACAAAGGGTATTGGAATATTGGGAGTAACAAATGCACCAGATTCAACAGATATGAGAGAGATTCCAAGAGGCAGACCTTAATTCCTGTAAGCACAGTATATACAAGTGAACTTACTGGATATGCCCAAAAAGAAAGAAGAATAAACTTACATTATATGAACATGAACTTTATGAGAAATCAATTAATACAATCTGATAAAAAGAAAAAAATTAGCACATGAATTATCCTATAAATTTGAAGTAAAATTAACATGCATCCTATTTTGAGAAAGAAAATCAACATTACAAATTTAGTTAGTGCCAATGAAAAACAAGTTTGTCTACAAGGTATATATACAGTACTGGTTATGTAGATTTTATACAAAATATATAAATTACTGGATAGTATTATATTAGAAATGTATTACTGCAAGTTATTACTTCTTTAACAATTCACTTACATATAAACATGGACCTACTAAAATATACAGTACAGATAGCCCTTGATTTGTGTGGGAATTATGTTCCTGCAAAATATATGGAACAAAATCATGCAACTCAATCTTAAAAGGTACATTACATGGTAGAAAGGAAAATATGTTCCAAAGGCCTCCAAAGTTCACTTACCATATTAATTAAACATTCAATGTTATTAAAAAGGTCAAGGGAGGAATATAATAAATGCAACAAAATATTATCACGACAGAAAATACAGCAGTGACAAGGAAATCCAAAGTAAAGATCCTAATACCTGGAGATTTTAACAACAGGGAAATAAGACAGGTCAATTGAGGATCCTAACAAGAAAGACGGAACATGGACAACTAGATTTATGGACATTACTGTATAGATAAATACTTTGTGGCAACATAACCAGACCAGCAAGAGAAAGCGGTGATCCACCAGCTGGTGTAGACCTGGAGTTTTGAAGATGACAGAGAACTTGAAACATAAGGTACCACTAAGAGCCAGCACTGCATTATTGTGTTGGATAAAACTGTAGACCTGAAGGACTTGTAAAAAGGATATGGCACAGAAGATGGGACTACATAAGGGTTAGAGATTATCTGCAGGTGTTTCAATGGGAGACTGAAATGGAAAGAAAGTCATCAAATGAGATGATGGAACTCATAACACAGAAATGCAAAGAAGCAATGAAACAGTTTATACCTCTCAGGAAGGAAGTGGACAAAAGGAGAAGAGCAAACCCATGTTCAAAAGAGTAAGGAGGAAAAGAAGACAATAGCAGTAATGAAAACATATAGACACATGGGTACAGAGAAAATGTTGGCACTAATGAGGGCCAGAATTGAGTACACCAGAATTAGGAGGGCAGCAGAGCAGTTTGAAAATGACATTGCAACAAAAGTACAGAGCCAACCTAAGCTGTTGCAGTCACACACTGAGAAAAATAATGGTAGAAGACCATGTCATCAAACTACGTGGACAGAGCAAAACACTATGAGAATGACTGTGTAAAAAACTCGACAAAAAGTTCCAGGAGGTCTACAAACCAGAGCCAGATTCCAAGTGTCCTAGGAAGGGTGACAACAACAGATAACCAAATAACAACACTAGACAGAATTGAAGTTAATATAAATGAGGTAAAAATACACGTGGAGGAACTGGATGTAGCAAAAGCAGTAGGATCAGACCAGATGTCACCCTGGTTACTGAAAGAAACTGCAGGGATCTTTTGTTACCTATTTGTTCAACATTACACTAGAGACAAAAGACCTACTGGAAACCTGGAAAAGGTAAATGTAGTTCTAATATTCAAGAAACGGGACAGACATCAAGTATTAAAACTACAGACCAGTGTCGTTGACATGCATTTCGTACAAAATTCTATAGAAAATCAGAAAATGTATTGTAAACATTTTAACATGTACATGTTTATTATAACATGTACATGTTTCAGAAGGAAAATCATGCTTTAACAATCTTAATTGAATTCTACGATTGGGTCATCAAAATAAGACAAGAAAATTAAGGATGGGTAGATTGCATCTTCCTAGAATGCCATAAAGCTTTTGATACAATTCCTCAAACAGAGACTAATACATAAGATGGAGAGAGAAGTGGGGATAACAGAACAGGCATTGGATTCAGTACAGGAGCACTTGACTGGGTCCTAGAGTAGGATGTCAGGCTGGAGAGGAGTGGAAAGTGGTGTTCCACAGGGCTGTATCCTAAGACCATGGCACTTTTTAATGTATGCAAATAATCACACCGAGTGAGCTGGTGTATGTCAATGCTTGGAGATGATGTAAGGATAATGAGGGCAAGAACTGAGGAGGACTGTAGGGTGTTCAAGAAGACCTTGACAAACTTAAGGAGTGAGCAGATAAATAGTTGCTTCAATCCAAATTAGTATAATAAAAATGGGTACGAGAGACAGGAGACCTGCATTTAAATGCACAACTACACTATCTATAGTGATGGTAATTACAAGAAACAGTAAGAGAAATAGACCTAGGAGTAGGCATAACCAGAACCTTAACAGTAGAAGCTCATATGAACATAACATCAGCAAAATATAAGAAGTTAGCAAATGTAAAAAAAGTCATTTAAGAGTCTAAACAAGATTGCTTTCAAGCCCATACGTGTATGTGAGACCATTAATTGAGTATGCAGCACTAGCATGGAACCCACACCCTGTGAAACATAAACAAAAACTTGAAAAAAGTTCAGAGGTTTACAACTAGATTAGTATCAGAAATGAGAGGCTTCAACTATAGGAAAAGGTTGAGAGAACTCGCCCTTACAACCTTAGGAGAGAAGAAACTGAGGGGGATATGATAACTACATACCAGATCCTGTGGAGAAGAGACAACAGAACAGACAAAGACAGGATATCTAAATTAAAAAGAGGTAAGACAGGAGACATCAATGGAAGCTGGACACACAATCGAGTCAAAGATGCAAGAAAGTTCTCGTTTCCTGTACAGGTGGTTGGTAAGTGAAAGTAAGTGTACAGGTGCATTGAAAGAAAAGGTTGTTGAAACCATTTAAATCTACAACGTAAGACAAAATATATTAAAACCACTAATGTTAAGAGAGGTAAAAATAGCTGGGAGAAGGGGCATAAAGTACTAGATCTCATAGCCAGTAGTCACTGATATGTTCACCCTCCACTGTTCATAAAAACTACACAACGAAGTAGGGAATGCTTGAAAGGTGCAATAAAGTAATAGCCAAAAAGATTTGAAATCACAAGAAATATGGTAAGTGTGAGAGCTTCATGCAGTTTGGCAATGTGGTAGATCCACAGATCATCCAGTAACCTGTACTAATACTCTACTACATAATGTCAAAACTCACCTGCACATAATGAAACTTTGTAATAAAAAAAACACATGCCACCCAATCTACACTGTTCAATATTGCACAAATCAAGGGCTGATCATATGCTCCATGTGACAACAATACGGTACTGTTATTTATTAGCACCAAATGTGACTTATTCCAGGTGATATCTTGCAGCAAAAATACCCAAACCAAACATACCTATGTAAATACACTACATAAAGTGAATACTAAATATTCTAAAAAAAAATATAATGTACAGTATAAAGAATCTAATGACTAAATAGTGTGGAAGAGTATATCACAGCCTGGAGATGGTTCTTACTTTGGGAGCTGATGAGGCTGTAACTCTAGCCCAAGCAACGTTTGACCAGGTACCCACAAACTAAATAAAAATAAATAAAGAATACATATATAGAGATGCTGTGTATTTATTTGAAATGCCAAGAATGACAGGCATAATAAAACATACTAGTACTGTACATACAAGCCTATATCATTTCCAATCTAAAACCTTTTTTTGTTGACAATAAATGCTTTCATTTATTTGTTAAGCAATCTACAAGTGATGAGAGTAATTGAGTAGCTAGTCCCTTAGCTGTGGAAACTGACTGCAATATATGCACTTTGTTTCTTCTTAAGGGCTATTGGTTGTAATGAGAAAATTAGTAGGAGCCATGAGGAGGATTTGTACATATGCTGTGGGTACTTCCAAGCACACGCCTTAGACCACTACACCACGACATGGTCAAAGCATTGCAACCTGGTATTATTTCCAATCCTCTTCATAGCTCCTACTGATTTTCTCATTTAAACATCACATTAATTTGATTTTGTTGTGCATCGATTCCAACCTTACAAGCACATAAAAAGCCTAGTCACAGCCTGTGTAGTTTTCACTCTTCATCCCTAGTGTCTGTATTTAAGGCAGGTACAAGGTAACATTTCTATATCATGCAGCTAACTGGGAGTTAGTGAGATACTGTAGCAAGTGTGGAAGTTTCATGGTGCTTGTTTTGCACTCAACATAGTACTAGTGTACTGTGTCAGTACTCCACCTATAAGTATCAACGAGGACTAGCCACACAAATTTCTGTGGTAATTTCCAAGGTAAATATATATTACATTAACTTTAGAATAATGATGTTGCAAAGTCACCCATGAATATCCAAAGGAAGTACAGGTGTTACACTGTACAATATTTCAAAACTTTACATAATATGTAAATAATAATAATAACACAGAAAATCTCACTATCATAATATACATCAATGAGAGAATCTACTGGGGCTGTGAGGCAACACAAACCTGCGACCAAGGCTTTGCCAGCTGCATACTCTACCACTGTACCACCAGTCACTTTGTAAAAGTCATACAACTGTATTTCTACTGAAATCTCAGGTAGTCTTCAGACTTCCTGTGATTTGAATAGAAATCAGATTGTATGACCTTTATCAATCTGTGGTGGTACAGTAGTAGAGTAAGTGGCTAGCAAAACCTTGGTCGCGGGTTCGTGTCGCCTCACAACGCCAGTGGATTTTCTCAATAATAATAATAATAAAATAATAAATAAAAATAAATTTATTTAAAAGATGTACAGAAATAAGTAATTATCAAAGGAAGGCACCAAGCCAGGAAGACCACCAGTGTTGGTGGATATTCAATAGGCCCTAAATATCACTTAGGATGCCAATACAAGAACAAAAAGACACAAGGCAAGCAATATCAAAGGTATCTGATTTACCAAGGATTCCATCGAGTGATAAATGATCTAAGGGACATTAGGAAGTAAAACACACAAGGTTACAAAACCTGTAACCTCTAACGACCCTGCCAACAGTCTATTTCGGGAATGAATGACTAGGTAGAAATATGAATAAGGAATGCCTTTTTTGGAAATGACAAAGGAACGTTGTTAACCGTTTTTCTTGACGTCAAAGAGCATACAAAATTGCACACAGTTTAGCTGTGAAGATACTAGTCTGGGGGTAGGCAGCACATACAGGTCTGGTCAGAAAAGACAACGGAGTAGCCAATGCGAGTTGGCAGACTTCGGCCCATCTGTGAATACATACTTCAATGGAGTGTAATTGCGAAGGAGTGTTCAAGGAAAAGGCATATCATAATAGTAAATATATTATAAGCCTTCATCATGCAAGTCAAGGACTTGCAAAACTTTACAAGTGGAAACCCTCCATGGGGGCAAGGTTGGAACAGCACGAGAGAATCTTGAAAGCGAGACATCAATTTAGAAAAAGGCAGGTGGTAAAACAGAACAGGGCCCACCTGAGGGCTAATGGTCAAAGCACAGTATATGTAAGAGCAAAGATATTGTAGGGAAGATATACAGAACATGATACAGTGCTTGCTTACTTATTACATAAAAAGATGCATATTTAATAAAGCCAATAGTATGGAAAGTACTGTAGATAAATTACTCTCCTATTTACATAAAATACATTACTGAAGTATTGTACATTAAAAATTACACGTAAAAAAAAAATAAAGCTACACAATATTAGCAATTTAATCCAGTTAAAGTTAAGCTACAGTTCCTACATATGGAAAATGTGTGGCAAAGGCACTCAATGTGTAGTGTCAGCCTATGTGAGTCCAAACAGTAACTGTATCCTGATTGAGAACCCACAAAGTCCTCTCTCTCCCTAGTCCTCACTATCATGGTTAAGAACTCACGAAGTTTTATGTTTTCCAAGCCTTTATTTATAGACCCTGAACTGGGATAAATAAAAGTTTCTATTCATAGTGGCTTATGTTCTACCTGGTCTGACCTTATAAATAAGAAGCTCTCAAGAATTTTAACTTCAAAAACAGACTGGCAATCCTCAGATCATCACTCATAATAAAGTTTAGTAAGTTATAAATCTCAGATATGGAGGCTACATATTTAATTTTTCCCTTGGCTTCTTCAGCATAATATATATAATTCACCTCATCAATCAGGTGATCTGTTACAATTTTTGTTGGAAAATAATGTTTTCCCTGAAAGTATGTACTGTACAAACTTAAAATGATAAATAAAAAGGAAGTCAGACCTAAATTAGAATATGCTGCTATAGGACTGTCTGCAATTGAACAATCAGTCAAACAAAAATTCCAAAGAATTGTAACAAAAATGTACCCTTGAATTAAGGGTAATTAAATTATTAAAAAATTAAAAATTTACCCTTAATTGAATGAATTAAGAACTATGATCGATAAAAAAAAAGGTCCAAAAGTCTTAGAAATGCATACAGGATATTGTATATATCAACCCATCCTCCGAATTGACAGTACGATTTAATACTAAGTGTAATAAGTACACTTTCTGTCATAACCAGTGCATAATTGTACTTATGGGGCTGTTACATTTACCCAACTCCCTCCCCCGATTTAATTCCCCTCGTTTTCTGTTAAGATACACAGAATTTTAGGATGAAATTTTCAATTTCAATTCAATTCAATTCAATTTTGCAATACATAAGTTTTAAATATCAAGAATTTTTTTTTCTGGTTTATTAAACAATATAGATTTTATACAAAATTTTAAAATATCCAGAGTTATTTTACAATTTATTGATATATTTTAGTTTTGTTTTATTAGTTTTATAAAACTGAAATATAAATATAGCTGTAGGTTAAGTACTAATTGTAATTAAGAAGCAATAAAATTATTATCTTCAAAAACTAAGACAGTTAGGTGAGGTTGTGGTTTTCTATTCAGTTTTTGGGGTAAACTCAAATATTCACAATATATTTGACAGTACGATTTAATACTAAGTGAAAATAAGTACAATTCCTAACTGCTATGAATAGTACATAATTGCACTTATTTGTCTCCTTACATTTACCACCCCATTTTTGGAGGACGGGCTGTATATATTTTGTAATTACCTAGGTATAGTTACAGGATGCGAGCTACGCTCATGTTACCCCATCTTCCCAGAATTTTTCATATAATGCTTTGAAACTACTGGTGGTTTTTGGTTCTTTCGCACTTAACTTTTTCCAACTGTCTGCCACTTGTTTGCAAAGAGAACTTTCTTATATTTTTTGGCATCTTTACTTCCTTACCTTGAATGTGACCTCATGTTCTTAAAAGTTGCAGCTTTAAAGAGTTCCTGTATATTGTCAATTCCGGTTACTATATTAATGTATCTGCGTGTGTATTTGCAAAGTATCTAAATGTACAGTCGAGAAAAGGTATTCCTTTACCCCCCCCTAAGTTCTTGGGAAGTGCAGAATGACAACACCTCATTTGTTGTTGTAGTAGTAATGAATTAGACTATGAATGAGTAGGTGCTTTGAAACAACGAGTCTCACTGGTCAAAACACCACACACCGGTTTATATAATTCACACTTATCAAAAGAAAAATAGTGTAGAGCAGTTAATAAAAATTAATATGTTGATTAGTGAAAAAGATAGATGGCTCTATTTATGTGCTTAAGAGTTGATTGACATGTTATGTAAATGATATATATTGTACAACCCGTTCTCGCAAATTTAATAAGTCAATATTGACTTATTAAATATGTGCATAGGTGACATACTTAACATAATAGATACCCTTAAAAAGATTCATAGAAAACACCAACCTTACCTAACCTTGTTAGCATCTTAAGATAAGCATCTTATTGCTTCGTAATTACAATTATTACCTAACCAATAATAGGTATAGGTTAAGTAATAATTGTAATTACGAAGCAATAAGATGCTTATCTTAAGATACTAACAAGGTTAGGTAAGGTCGGTGTTTTCTATGAATCTTTTTAAGGGTATCTATTATGTTTAGTATATCACCTATGCACGTAGTTAATAAGTCAATATTGACTTTACGAATTTGCGAGAACGGGTTGATATTGTATGATACTTTTGTGTGTTTGGCATTTGGCTGTTGAGGCAGACGACGACATGACATCACGCCAAAAACGCTACCTACATTGTCATTGGCTGCCAGTCAGCAACAACACTGTTATTTTAGTTAATTTATTATGCACCCAATAACCATCCTGTAGGCAGTAGTGGAAAGGGTTACAGAAGAGCATAATGGGCCTGAACCCAAAAATTCATGTAGCTAAGCAAGTTACAGTCTTGATGAGTTAGTTACAAAATTCAATGCACATCGTCACAAACAATGGGCTCGAGGCCAACCACTAGTCTCTAAATTAAGCAACTGACGTATGTGGAGAATATATTTCACTCTTCCTATTAAAACATTTATATGAATATCATTACTAAATACTTCTGCTGCTCTTCAGACACAAATATAGTACAAACTTATAGGCAGAATGCTTGTGACACACCATGATGCATGAATGTACACTACAGTAATTCAAAAAGTGTGTAAAACACAAACTAACCAAGGAGTCAAGAGGTAAGTGCAGTG